TGGGAGAAACAGAGTTGGGAATAGAGTGGCAGGTAAGTGACGAAAAACATGTCATATCAGCTTCAACTGGGTCTCTTACTGTCTTCCTCTGAGATGGACATCCCATCTACCCCCCACCCAGTGGTCCACGACTGCAGCCATGCTTCCCATTAAGACTAGCTCCAACCCCAGGCCTTCCTCCGCCAGCCCTGGTCTCTGCAAGGCACCACCACCCTGCAGCCTGCCCAGAGACCTGAGTGCCATCGCTGTCTCTCAGCCCCCGGTCCCCCCAGCGTGGACTCCATCAGCGCAGCCCATGGGCTCCAGCTCCATTCTCTTGCAGACGCACCCCCCACCTGCCCGCCCCCCAAGCCCACATTCAGACCTTCTAATAACAGACTAGAGGCATGTGAAAAAAATCAACCGACGAGAGCCCGAGAGATGTTGAAATAGCATTTATAAATGAAAACCACTTGAAGCAAAGCCGGAGGATGGCCACGGGTTTAAAAACTCCTCATTATGCGCAGGAGGAAGAAAAACAAAACTAATTCGTTTTCGTTTTGAAAATGTGAAGTCTTGCCCCCACCCTCGTTGAAACATACTTACGCATCTCTCAGGACTATGAAAGCTGATACAGTCATTTTGGAAAATAATTCGGCCATATATATCAGAAGCCATAAAAATGTTCATCTCCTTTGACCCAGTAATCCCACTCCTGGGAATTTACTGGAGGGAAATAATTCAAAACAAGAAAAAAAGGGGAGGGGGCTATTTCTACACAGATGTTTATTACCTCCTTGTATAAGCAAGAATCTAATAGCAAAAGAAATGTCCAATTATAGTGGAACATGAAGTACATTTCAGGGTAATTAACTCAATGGTATATTAGGCTGCTTCAAAAATAATAAATATGGGCTATAGGTAGAACCCGGGGAAAATATACAGGAAATAATGTTGAATGAAATATATATGTTCCACAATTACAACTGCAGAAAAAACAAATACTTTTGCAGATGAAAAATGGAAGGGGCATTGGATTCAGGTAAATAAGGTACATGATTGATTCGTGGGATTATGGACATGGCTTCTTTGATGCTTTCGAGTTAAATGGAAATGTTTCAAGCCCCTCTGAAGCACCCTGATCGTGGGACTGGCTTGGCTGGGAGAGGGGACTCTGGCCCAGCCCTGTGGAGGGCGGGGCTCCCGGGGGCGGGGCTCCCTGCAGAGGGCGGGGCTCCCTGCGGAGGGCGGGGGCTCCCGGGGGCGGGGCTCCCTGCAGAGGGCGGGGCTCCCTGTGGAGGGCAGGGCGCCTGCCGCACCGGCCTGGGGAACCCCTCATCCTGAAGGGAGATCTAACCCCGTGTCCCCTTGGGTGAGCAGCAGGGGTCTGGCATCAGAGGCTGAGAGCAATCTGGGCCTAAGGACAGAGCTCGTCCAAGGTCCAGACAGCACTGTTGAGGCTCCAGCCGGAGTGAGGAGGTCGGGTCAGGATTCTGGGGAGGACAGGAGGAGAGTCAGAGAGGCAGATGGAAGCTCATGGTGATGGTGACACAGCCAAAAGGTGAAAAAACAGAACCAAAACCAAAACAAAGTGAAATTCCGCCCAGGTCCTGCACAGATGGTCACTCGCGCATGAAGAGAAGGATCTTCACAGATAAGGTTTTAACTCTTTTTGGTGCTGGGACTTGGGTAGAATGAAGTTTCTAGTGCTTCATTATTTCTAGATAATGAATATCTAGAAAGGAGAATGTTCTAGAAAAGGCTCCCTGTTGATCACGTGGCACGTTCAAAATGTCCCTGCTTCTACAGTGGCCGTTGTGTGGGCAGAGGGGCTTACAAACTTACCCAACAAAGTGAGGTGCATCTTTCTTTTAAGAAAAAAAAATTCATCTTGTGATTCCTTGAAATGAATCCCCTCAGAGCATTTGCAGTTGTGTTTGGTGTTTTATTAACTTGAAAGACTGTCCAGGTTGCAGAGAAGCGTAGATTAATCAGAAATGAAGAGAGCATTTCTGAATTTCCTCCGTACGTCAGTTTTGGGTAAAGTGATATCTACCCTAATGGGCCTCCCCGGTGCTGCAGTGCTTAAGACCCCACCTGCCAACACGGGAGACAGAGTTTGGACCCTTGAGTTGGGACGATCCCCTGGAGAAGGACCACACGTGTCCTTGCTTAAGGAAATCCATGGACAGAGGACCCTGGCGGGCAACAGTCTGTGGGTTTGCAAAGAGTCAGACCCGACTGAGCATGCACCCTAATTGTTACATTTGTGACTTTTTAAAAAATGAAAATGAGGCTCATAAAACATGATGACGAATAATCCAAATTCTTCACCAGGAATCTGCAATAAGGATTTATATTTACAATGAGCACGAGCCCTATTAACACATAGGTATAATGCTTACTATGTACCAGGTGCCGTCCCAGTGTTCATAAATATTAATTCATTTAATATTCAAAGCAGTTCTATGCAGTGAATCGTATCCCCTGTCCCCACTTCACGGGTGGGAACAGAGAGGCACAGAGACATTGCGCGGCTTGTCCAAGGACACACAGCCGGGGGGTCAGAGCTGCTGAACCACCCAGGTCGAGGTGGGGGTGGGGGTGATGCCATCCCCCGTGCCCAGGGGATTCATGCCCCAGCCTGGCCCTGCTGCTCGGCCTGGAGACGGCCAGGAGGACCAGTGAGGCTCCTGGCTTGGTCAGGCAAGAGGGGGATGCCCAGCCCTGCCAGGAACATCTTGCCACCACAGAGAGGGGACGCAGTTGAGACAGAGATGCAGAGAGAAGGCGTCAAGGCACATCCAAGCCCAGAGCTACTGCCAGACCCAAGGCACGTGTCTCTCTCCCATTTTTAATTTGGTTCCCGTCCCTTTTGGACGTTCAGTTATCACAGGTGTGAGATGGGATCTTGGGACTGAGTGAACAGCTGCCGTTTTCAGCATCAGGTGGTGACAGCGTCACTGAAAAGGTCTCAGCTGCTTGGGTGTGGAAACAGGAGAGAAACAGCAGTCACATCCACGCCTCTGTTGGAAGCGTGTCCATCTCTGCCATGCGTCGGGCAGAGGAGAGGGGCAACCTTTGGTGTGGACCCCCTGGAGCCCTGGTTTTCTCATCTGTCACATTCGAGTCATGATACTCCTGAGAGGGCTGTCCTGGAGCTAAATGACATGGTACCAAGGACCTATCTAATGAATGGTTCTGACCCCAAAAACGGTAGCAATTACTACGCGGCAACTGCTGTAAATTGCTTTCTGTAATTTATTGTATTGAATTCGATCCTTGCAACAATCCAGTGCTTTAAAACCGTCACCCTCTTCTGGCCTGGCGAAACTGACAGTCAGAGAGGCGGGGCCGCAAAGAAGGCTGAGCCCCAAAGAGCTCACGCTTCTGAGCTGCGGTTTGGAGGAGGCTCTTGAGAGTCCTCGGACTGCAAGGAGATCCCGCCAGCCCATCCCAGAGCAGATCAGTCCTGGTGTTCACTGGAAGGACTGATGCTGAAGCTGAAGCTCCAGTACTCTGGCCACCTCATGCGAAGAGCTGACTCATTGGAAAAGACCCTGATGCTGGGAAAGATTGGAGGCAGGAGGAGAAGGGGACACCAGAGGATGAGATGGCTGGATGGCATCACCGACTCGATGGACGTGAATCTGAGCAAACTCCGGGAGACAGTGAAGGATCTTACCCACGAGGAGCCTGGCGGGCTGCAGTCCAAAGGGTCACAAAGAGTGGGACATGGCTTAGCGATTGTACGACAGCAACAAGATTATTTGACAACTAAATGATGCGTAAGGAACAGAATTCAGAACTTCAAGCCAGATCCGACACACCCCTTCCAAGGCCTGGGTGGCTTGAGGGGATGTTCCAAGATCTGGAAACACGAACCCAAGGAGCCAGTCATCAGACCCAGAAAGGTATAAGGACCACCGGTGGTGGAGGAAGGAAGAGAAGAGAGAAACGCAAACGCCCTGGGAGCTTGTCTCCCGTCCTGCCCGCCTTGGCAAGCTCCTTGGAAAATCCTGGGGCTAAGGCTCGGAGGAAAGCCGGCTTCAAGGAACGAAGGTGTGGAACAGTCCCGCAAGCACCCCGTCCCCACCTTGGGGGACTGACAGTCATGCATGAACACGGAACCCAGATGCTGTTCTGGTTGGATCACACGGACTTGGAAAGTCCAGGCATGAAATGCCTGAATGATAACAATAGAAAACAGATCAAAAGCCCAAAGAAAGAAATCAGGAGAAATGAAAAACAGAAGGACTGGCAGCAGAAGATGAAAGGGGAGAATTTACAATTTGACACCAAAGCAGAGCCAGCGTTTAAGTTTTTGCTGGCAGTTGACCCATATCCAGATGAGAGTTTCACAGCATTAATTGGAGGGATGAAATTACCATCTTTGAGCAGCATTGCAGACTTCTGGGACCTCAGGGTCAGAAGAGTTCCCTGATAGTCTCCAAGGCTCACCCTGCCTTTTAAATAATCTAGGAGGTCATCGGTACCTGAATCTGCACAGACTCTGTCATTGTCAGCCACTCCATGAAGACCAGGAAGGTCCACCGCGTATAAGAGGGCTTGAAAATCCCCAAAAGTAAGCATTAAAAGGAAAGAAGGGAAAATCCAATCTCCCTGGGTGTAGTCTCACTGCATCAGGGATCAGATCACTCTCCGTCTCAGTTCAGATCAGAGAGAACCCAGTTTAAAATGACTTCAGCAAGAGAGGGAAGGCGTTGGCTGAGATAACTGAAAACTGAAAGGACACTCTAGCTTCAGGTGTCAGTAGGAACATGTGTTCCGGGAAAGCGAAGAGAGGAGTCACCAGTGGCAAAGCCGTGTGATGAATGCAGTGGTTAAGACACGCCCGGCTGGCACCAGGGGCCTGGAGGAGGCCCTGGGAAGGGTTCTGGAAGGAGGAGGCTGGGGAGAGAGAGTGGAGATAAGAAAGGGTGTTCACGAGGACTAGAAGCAGAGAGGAAGGAGGAAGGCGAGAAGCTGGAGATTCTGGGATGACAACGAATGCCGAGGAATCAGACCACCAGACTCTGCGGGCCACCGGGACTCCGAGGCGGACACAGACTTGAGTTCCCCGTGGTGCAGGAACGGGGCTGGCTGCGGGCAGGTCTGCCAGCAGACAGCAAGGCTGGGAAGCTGTCAGGGTCACCCCAGGAGGACGGGGCCGCTGGAGCCGAAGCCGCGCTGACGGAGACAGGGGAGGGGCCGCGTGTGGAGAGCCGCTGGGGGCACTCGGGGTCCCGGCACCGGCACCTGCGCTGGTGATGCTGGTCCATGAGGGGTGCAGGCGCGCGGAGGGCGCTGAGCTGCGTGAGACGCTGTGTTTCGAGAACGACACTGGAGATGTCTGCTGGGCTGCAGGCTGGGCAAGGGTGGCACTCGGGGACCACTCTGAGCCAGGAAGACAGACAGGGATCATCAGGAGCGCGGTGCACGTGCGAGCCCTGGAGTCAGAGGCGTGGCTCGGGAGGAAGCGATCCAAGGAAAGACAGAGCAAGTATGAAGTCCCCCGAGGGCCACAGAGAGAACCAGGAGAGCCAGGGGTCCTGGGAGCCAGCGGGAGGGGAAGGAGGGAGGGGAAGTGGAAGGGAAGGGGAAGGTCAAGGAGAGGTGAACACTCAAGATGGCAGGAGAAACTGTCTTCCGATAACTGTATTTTGTCCTGTACTTCTCAATATTGTACAATAATAATCTTTGATAATTAAAAAAGAAAGAAAGAAAGCAAAGACAGCAAATCTGGAGAGATGAGCGTAAAACAGCGCCTATGGGATTTTGCAACAGAAAATCCCCTGGCCCCCTTGGCAGGCGCGTCAGTGAGGTGGTGGCCGGCGGCCAGCGTGGGTCCATGCCGAGGAGACGGGAGGTGATGCGGAGCTGCGGTGTGGGGACAGTTCTTTCGAGAAGTCCGGGGCGGGGAGGATGGAGAGAGCTGGAGCCACGGACGGAGAGGCGGTTTGGAGCCTGGGGGGGGTGTTAGGCTGCTGCTGCTTTAAGACAATAAAAGGCTTACAAGATACCTTTAGGACCCTCAGCGGGTGGGTGGGGACGGGCTCAGGCTGCAGAGGGCAGGTGAGCATCTTCCTACTGAAGCCGCGGGAACAAGACGGGGGGATTCCAGGCCAAACTACATGCATGGGGCGAAGGCAAGTCTTTGAGAGACGTCAGCTGGTAACCTGGATCTTCTCAGAGAAGTCAAGGGAAGAGTGCGGACTGTGAGGGCCCACGGCTGGGCGCTGGGCGACACGAGGGCCCTGAGCGGCTCTGGAGGAGGGTGAGGGAGGCAGCCGCTGGCGGCTGGGGCCGCTGGCCTTGGATGCTCCGAGCCCGTAGTGGTCCAGGGCGTCCCCAGTGTGTCAGACCCGATCAGATCAGACCTTCTAATCTGGAATTCATGGCGAGCTCAACCGGGCTGGGCTGAAACACTTTACTGATGTAGGAAGAATTCGCTGGGACCCCCCTGGTGGTCCACCGCCTGAGAGTCTGCTCCCAGCGCAGGAGGCCCAGGTTCGACCCCTGGTCGGGAAACGAGATCCCACCTGCCGCAACTAAGACCTGGTGCAGCAAACAGACAAATAAACAAGTACATATGTTTGAAAAAGAGAAAGAGTAAGGAAATGGCAACCCACTCCAGTGTTCTTGCCTGGAAAATTCCATGGACTGAGGAGCCTGGTAGGCTACAGTCCATGGGGCTGCAAAGAGTTGGACATGACTGAGCGACTTCACTTCACTTCACAGGAGCTTTCCCGGTGGTGCTAGCAGCAAGAACCCATCTGCCAATGCAGGAGACATAAGAGACCCGGGTTCGATCCCTGGGTCAGGAAGATCCCCTGGAGAAGGGAATGGCCACCCACTCCAGTGTTCTTGCCTGGAGAATCCCCTGGACAGAAGAGCCTGGCGGGCTACGTACGGTCCATAGGTTCGCAAAGAGTCAGACACGACCGAAGAGATTCAGCCCGCACGCGGGGCGGCGGGGGGAGCCGGGGTCCTTCTGCCCAGCTTTTAGGAGCCATACGTCCAGTAAGGAGGCGTGTGCTGGGGGTGAAGTGTGGACAGCGCTCAGAGGCCACGGTGCGGTGGCAGCCGCCTGGGGTGGTGACGACAAGGGCTGACGCCTGTTGGAGGTCCACCTGGTCTGACTGCCCCAAACGCTTTACAAGGGCTGCCTCAGGCCATCCAAGCAACACCGTATGACATAGTTGCCACTATTTCTTTAAAAAAGACCTTTAGTTGGAGGCTAACTGCTTTACAGTACTGTGTTGGTGTCTGCCATACATTATGAATCAGCCATAACTATACACATGTCCCCTCTCTCCTGAACCGTCCACCCCGTCCCACCCCTCAAGGTGGTCGCAGAGCACCGGGTTTGAGCTCCCCGAGTCATTGAGCCTATTACACAGAGAGAAGCAAGTCAGAAAGAGAAACATAAATATTGCAAATTAAAGCATCTATACAGAATCTAGAAAGATGGTGTTGATGAACCTGTTTACAGGGCAGCAATGGAGATGCAGACACAGAGAACAGAATTTCAGGCTTTTCTTAAGGAGAAAAAAAAAAACCTAAACCCATTGCGTGTTCACATTCATTCTCCAAAATGCCTTAGATCAGTACCTAAAACTCAAAACCAGCTTTTGCTCCCAATGAAGGAATTACCTGGTCCTGATCCTAGCTGATCTTTCTTGCTCTCCTGGAGTTGAAAAGTGCCTTTTGTGGGAGAATTTGGAAAACAATCCCCCCACCCCAGAATACTTTGAGAGGAATTCAGATGGAAATTCAGATGGAAGCCCTTTGCCCATTTCCCACTGTCGTGCGTCTCATTCAGAAATGAATCTGTTGTGAAAGCTCTATTTTCAGTCACGCCCTCAGAACTTGATTTTCGTCTTGGAAAGGCAAGGGCAGAGGCGGGGGCTGCCCTGACTCTCTGGGAAGCCTGTGGGCTCCCAGTGGGGGAGAGGTGCTGGCTTGGCACGCAGGCCCTGATGCTTTTCCCATCAGCCTGTTTCATTCCACTAAAGACGACCCCCCGGGGATTTCAGCACACTTTCTCTTCCCTGGAGGCGGAGAGTCTCCTCTGACCTCGGGCACCAACTGCAACCAGTCAGATCTCTCACCTCGGCCAGAGGACAGCCCCTGTGAGTGCCCCACACGCACCCCCAGCCTGGAGGCTGACTCTGGGCCCTGGCAGCCGCCCCGGGGCTGTTTTTCCAGGCGTGGAGGAGCGCTTCCACAGCTCTTCTTCGTTCATATCACCCATTTTCACGAACTGCTGTTAACGAGCAAGCACCCCAGCGAATTCCCTAGCTGCCCAGTGGTTATGGGCTTCCCAGGCGGCTCCAGTGGTAAAGAGTCTGCCTGCCAATGCGGGAGACCTGGGTTCCATCCCTGGGTTGGAAAGATCCCCTGGAGAAGGAAATGGCAGCCCACTCCAGTATCCTTGCCTGGAGAATCCCACGGACAGAGGAGCCCGGTGGGCTGCAGTCCCTGGGGTCGCAAAGAGTAAGATACAACTGAACACACAGCTCTTTTCTCGTCGTGGTAAAACATAACATAAAATTGACCATTTTAGCCTTTTTTTTTTTTTTACTGTTTTTTAAATTGGAGAATAGTTGCTTTACAATGCTGTGACGGTCATTTTGGCCATTTAAAAGTGTATGGTTCTATGGCATTAAGTACAGTCACAAGTACAGTCGTCACCACCATCCGTTTCCAGGATGGAAACTTTTTCATCTTCCTTGACTGAAGCTCTGTGCCCACCGCTCTGCTTTCTGCCCGCTGTGAACTTGCCCACACTCGGGACCTCACGGAAGTAGAATCATATAATGCTTGTCCCTCCGTATCTGCCTTACGTTGCTCTGCAGGATGTCTTCAAGGCTCGTCCGTGTTGGAGCCTAGGTCAGGGTGTCATTCCTTTCAAGACTGAATAACTTTCCATTGTGTGTATGGACCACATTTTGGTCATTCATCTGTCGAAGGACATTCAAGTTATTTCCACTATTGCGACTTATGCTGCTATGGACGTGGGCGTGCAGATGCCTGCTTTCAACCCCTTTATGCGCCCAGAAGGAAAGTTATCGGATCATTGCTGTTCCTCAGTCGCTCAGTCATGTCTGACTCCTTGTGACCCCACGGACTGCAGCACGCCAGGCTTCCCTGTCTTTCACTGTCTCCCAGAGCTTGCTCAAACTTGTGTCTGTTGAGTCGGTGATGCCATCCAGCCATCTCATCCTCTGTCATCCTTCTCCTCCTGCCCTCAATCTTCCCCAGCATCAGGATCTTTTCCAGTGAGTTGGTTCTTTGCATCAGGTAAGCAAATTACTGGAGCTTCAGAATCAGCATCAGTCTTTCCAATGAATATTCACAGTTGATTTCCTTTAGGATGGACTGGTTGGATCTCCTTGCTGTTCAAGGGTCTCTCAAGAGTCTTCTCCAACGCCACAGTTCAAAAACACCAATTTTTTGGCGTTCAGCCTTCTTTATGGTCCAGCTCCCCCATCCTTATGTGACAACTAGAAAAACCATAGCCCTGACTGACTTTTGTCAGCAAACTCTTGTCTCTGCTTTTTAATATGCTTTCTAGGCATATGGTCATCCTTTGTTTAAATTTGGAGGTGCCACCATATTGCTTTTTCATAACAGGTGTACCATTTGACATTCCTACAAGCAGCACACAAGATTCCAATCTGTCTCCATCCTCATCAGCATCAGTTATTTTGTGTCTGTGTTGTGGTTTTTGCTTTTACTATAATAGCATTCCAATTGGCATGAAGTGATATTTCATTGTGACTTTAATGGCATTTTCCTAACGATCAGTGATGTTGAGTATCTTTTCATATGCTTATTGGCTCTTTGTATGTCCTCTTTGGAGAAATATCTATTTGCATCCTTTGCCCTTTTTATAATTTAATTTTTATTTTATTCTGGAGTCCAGTTGATTTACAATGTTGTGTGAGTTTCAGGTGTCCAGTAAAGTGAGTCACTTATACACACGCATGTATTTTTTTTTCAGATTCTTTACTCATTTAGGTTATTACGGAGTGTTGGGTAGAGTTCCCTGTGCAATACAGTAGGTCCTTGCTGGTTATTTATTTTATATATAATAGTGTGTGTATGTTAATCCATTTGCCCATTTTTAATAGGATTGTTTGAGGCGTTTTTTGCTGAGTTGTAGGAGGACTAGGTTTCTTAAGGAGAGAAAAGCTAATCCGTGTCCTCTCGACACACACACACACACACACACTCCAGGCCGCACGACACTTGGGGTGACGGGACAGAGCTCTGAAACAGAACGAGAGGGTGCCCCACCATCACTCACGCGGACTCGCCTGGAAACCAGGCCCTCGGGCCAGCAGTGCTGGCCACACGCAGGGGCAGACGCGCCAACCAGGCCTGGAGCACGTGGGGCCCTCTGCTCTGCGGGGCAGCTGCTCTCACTCAGAGATAAGCGACCTCGGGTGAAGCAACTCGAACACCCAGACGACTTGGCTCGCTCTTCGGGAGAAGACTTGGTCTCGGCCCCCCAGCGTGTGTGCCGGGCCCCCGGCTCCCATCTGGCAGAGAAACTGAGCAGGCGGGGCTCCGTGACTCACGCTGCCCAGCGCGTGAGGCCGCCGGGGGCCAGGAGTGGCTGTGCTGGAGATAGAGGCGTCCAGCGCCAAGGGCAAGGCTTCCCTTTGTGTTAAGGTTAGCATCCTGACTTCTTCCAGGTCTAATCTGGCTTCTTTGGGTGGTGCATGCAGCTTGGTGCCTGGGACGTTAGAAGAGATTCAATAATGGTTGTGTTGGGGATTCCAGTGGGTAAGACTCCATCCTCCCGGTGCAGGGGCCCAAGTTCAACGCCTGGTCGGGGAATTAGATCCCACATGCCGCAACTAAGACCCACTGCAGCCAAATAAATAAACAGTTTTTAAAAGGCTTTATGTATATGTGTGTGTGTATATATATAATACACACACACATATATATAAAGGTTTCCCATGAGGACTGAATTGTAACCAATATGGTAGCTTATGTAAAGTGTCTGGAAAAAGACGAAACTCCACGCACATAAATAGTAACTGTCTCTCTTTAGTTTTATCTAGATATTCTGCTTGGTAAGCAATGTGGAGACAGAAACAGGGCAAATCTAAATCTTCCCTCGGAGTCCTCCCCAAGCCCTTCCCGCCTCTCACCTGCCGGCCTGGTGACGTCCACGGAGATGAACCAGAACATCACAAGACCAGCAGCCAGTCCTTTCTTGGCTGCTTGCTCGCTGGGTGACCTTGGGCAGGAAACATTACGTCTCTGAAGACCTAAGGAGACAGCACCCACGCAAGAATTTGTTCAATTATGGTAGGGATTAACACGGCTACTCTCTGTGACCCTATGGGCTGTAGCCCGCCAGGCTCCTCTGCCCATGGATTCTCCAGGCAAGACACTGCAGTGGGTTGCCATGCCCTCCTCCAGGGGATCTTCCCGACCCAGGGGTCGAACCCACGTCTCTCAGGTCTCCAGCTGGCAGGCGGGGTCTTCACCGCCAGCGCCCGGAAACCCTGATAAATGATAAAGGGCTGGCAACCCAAGATGGCGGCCCCGAGCCGGGAGGCGGCCTGGACGCAGATCGGAGCCATCTCTCCACGTGACTTCTTCCCCGAGGACCGCTGGGCAAAAGACTCTCGTCCACAACAGACTGGGGAAGGCAGTCTGGTTAATGGCCCTTCACCCCGCGGCCAGAAGGTGACAGGTCACAAGGAGGCCTCGTCTGCGGGGGCATTCCTGCAGAGGGGCCAGGGGGCCGGCTGCCCTTGGGAGGCCGGAGCAGTGGGCTCTCCACCCAGAGACGGGGCACTTCGTTCTCGGGATTCCAGCGAGGCTAAACGCGGAGGAGGAGGGCGGGGAGGATGGAGGCCACGGAGCTCGCGCCTGCCCCGGATCCACGCTGATCAGCATCTGCTGATCAAGGTGTGAAGCCCACAGCTGGGCAGGGAGAGCAAGGCTTCCCTGAGCCCTCCGAGGCCCGAGGTAAGCCTGAGCTGCTTTTCTTTTTCCAACTTTGGGCAGTTGCTTTTTATTATTTAACATTTTCTTTATATTGCAGTATACTTGATTTACAATATCCTGTTAATTTCAGGGTACAGCAAAGCGATTCAGTTATATGCACATATATATGCATTGCTGTTGTTTTAGCTGCCAAGTCATGTCTCTTTTCTACCCCATGGACCGTAGCCCGTCAGGCTCCTCTGTCCGTGGGATCCTCCAGGCAAGAAGACCGGAGTGTCTTCTTGGCCACTTCTTGGAGGAAGAGTGATCCTCCTCCAGGGGATCTTCCTGACCCAGGGCTCGAACCCATGTCTCTTGTGTTGGAAGGCAGATTCTTTACCACTGAACCACCAGGGTGGCCTGTATATACGCATTCATCTATTCTTTTTCAGATTTTATTCCCATATAGGTTATTGTAGACTGTAGAATATAGTTGCCTTGCCATGCCATTGGTCCTTGTGGATTATCTAGCTTATATACAGGGGTGTGTGTATTTGCATCCCAGCCTAAGGCTGAGTTACCTTGACATCCCTCCCATTCAGCAGTCTGGTAGCCAAGATTTGAGGTGTTCCCTGCATAACACAGCAAGCATGCCACCCTCCTTGGGTGCCCACTACACTCTGCACACGCATCCTCTACATGCACCCTGTCCACTGGACACCAGGCTCTGCTGGGGAGGCTGGTGGGGCAGAAAGGACCCCAACAAGGTCCTTGGCTTGAGGCCCAGGGACCAGCAACGGCTTAAGCAGGAAGAAGGCTGAACACATTTTTGGGAAGGAGCCCCAGCTCCAGCTCAGCTGGGGAACCTCCATCTGCCCACCCCCCGGCATTTAAGAACACGGAGACCAGGCTCTCCCTCACTCCCACCCCTGCGCCCACCCCCTGCTGCTGGCCGGCCTGGGTTCCAGGTCAAGCGGCCAGCTCTGGGCTGGGAGTGAGGGCGGCCTTCACCCTCGGACCCCTCCCAGAATGTCCTGTTAGCAGCACAGGTTTGGCTGATGGAAAGCGCTGCTCACTCCGAACATCGCTGAGCAATGCGAGCTTCTTGGCTCGACCTGTGGTCTCACAAGCTCTTTCATCCTCTGAACAGTCCTAGGGTGCGGTCCTTGTCTCTGCTTCCCAGATGAGGCGTCTGGGATCAAAGAGAAGTCGCCAAGGTGCTGCTCTGCCACTTTGGGGTAAGAACGCCCCCTCCCTTTTACTACTGAAGGGTGAGGATGAGTTTTGGGGGCTCCCCCAGTGGCTCAGTGGTGAAGAACCTGCCTGTGATGCAGGTGGCGCGGGTTTGAGCTCTGAGCCGCCCGATCACCTGGAGAGCTCTCCATCTCTCCAGGAAGGGCCAGGACCCACCACAGCCAAGCCCAGCGCTCCTGGCTTCCCTCTCCCGAGCCGTGCAGCACCCCAGGCTGAGCGGGGGAGCCAGAGTGTCCTGGGAACGTGCCCAGAGAGTTTTAGATCCCTCCGCCAAAAAAAGAAAAAAAAGGCATTTATTATCAGAGACTGTTTGTTCTGGGTTTTAGTGTCCTCAAGAGACAAAGTAAATTGTCTCTGCAGTTGAAGGGACTTCAGAATAGAAAATCTGACGGTAGAGGGGTAGGCCTCAAGCAGAAATCACCATCCATCACCCAGGAGGCAAGGGGGGCACTGTGAACCCCTGCAATGGCTGAGGGTGGGGGAGGACGAGAGGAGGCTCTGTTCTAGGGCCTGTCTTGCGCCCCCCTCCCCCGGCTTCGGGGGCCTGTCTGTCTGTCTAGGGTGTCTGTCCTCACTCCACCTCTGTGTCCCCCACCCATCCCTGAAGACCTCTTAGCCTTCCCTGTGGAGAGACTGTGAGGTTAGATGGCTGTCACTCTGCACACCCTGCAACCCCGAAGGCGTCCCCAGGCTGATCGCTGGAGTCGAGCCTGCCCTCCCCCCATCCCCACCAGGAGGCACAGCCAGGTTCCAGCTTTGAGACCTGCTCCTTCACGAGACTCTCACTGTCAAACGGAAGTAAATTGAGTGACTTCAGAACCAAGCAGACTTGCGCTCACATCCCAACTCCTCCGCCACGCAGGGCCCTGCAGGGCCCCCTGGGCCCCCGGGGCATCCCAGGCGGCTCAGTGGTAAACCGCCTGTCAGTGCAGGAGACTCGGGTTCCGTCCCTGGGTCGGAGAGATCCCCGGGAGAAGGAAATGGCAACCCACTCCACTGCTGTTGCCTGGGAAATCCCCTGGACAGAGGAGCCTGGCAGGCTACAGTCCATGGGGTCACAAAAGAGTCAGACACAACTTAGCGACTAAACAACTGGGTCCCCTGGGTCGGATCCCGCGTTCTCAGCCCCAGAGCTGTTGGAGGATTAAATACCCAGCGTGTGTAGGGTGAGCAGTCCCAGGCCCCACGTTAGGCAGAAGCTCAAAAACAACGGCTGCAGTCAGGCAGGGTAAGCATGACACCGCTGAAGTGCAGAGCGAGCGGACGACCCTCACAAGGTCACACAGCACAGCAGGGGCAGAGCCCAGACCGGCCGTGGCTCCGGGTCCCGCGAACCTGGATGCTGGTTTCTCGACAGCAGGAGACATTCCCCGACCGAGTCTGAGAACTGGGGCTCGGACTGTGTCTACCCGGAGGAAGGGCATCTGCTGGGACCAGCGAGCGGGCCGGCTTATTGATCCGGCAAGGGCCTGGTTCAGACCCAGTTCTCCCTTATGGACCGAGCCCCTGCGCGAGCTCCCTGCATCTGGGCACCTCCATTCTCCCACCTGTAAACTGGGGCCAGTAACGAACCTCCCTCAAGGCCTGTTGGAAGGATTCATGGGTTTAGAGTCGGTAAACACCCCTCAAGGAGCAGAACCATTATTCTGACTGCCCCCTGCCTAGGGGGTGGGGGGAGCCCATGGTACAGAGATCTGGGCTCGCCAAGCCCAGGGCGGGATTCTGGGAGAAGGAAGGGGCCCAATCCCACACTTTCACACCACAGAGGGCTTGGGCCAGATGAGCAGACGGGGGTGCTGGGTGCTGAGCAGACAGGCCTGGGGCAGCAGAGCGGTCCAGGGAGGCCGGGACCAGCCGTCCGCCAGCCAGGAGTGGCCGGAGAAGGTCCTACCGGCCACACGTGGGGTGGCGAGCGTGCGGCCAGACCCCGGGGGAGCCGGGATTTGAGCGGTTCTCTAGGAGAGCGCAAAGCCCCCAGAGCCAGGATTTGATCTCAGCGTTAGAGATGCTGGTCCACCAGCCGCTCTGTTTTCAGACAGCTCCGGCCTAGCGCCCGCCTGCCTTGGCCCCTCGCCAGGACTGGACTTTGCTCTGGTTTGTTTTTAAACTAGAACTAAAGCAATATCTTCTTGCGCCCTTCAGGAGGGGGAAACACACAGAGGTCACTTCTCAGGGTATCAGCAACGCACGCGCCGCGGAAGAGCGGGCCTCGCCTCTCGCTGAGTTAGGGCACAGCGGTCCTGAGGGCATGCTCGCCGGCTCTGTTTGGGGACTGCCTCTGTTCTGCAGTTGCGCCTTCGCGAGGTGCCTCCCCTTCACACGGGGAAGCAGTCAGGCCTCCCTCCCTTGCTGTTGTCAGGATTTCCGTGTGTTCCCAGTGGCTGACCCAGTGTCCGGAGCCAGGGTCTCCATGGCCGTTTGGTGAGTGAGTGGTCATTCCTGCCGCCCCCAGCCCTGCAGGCTCCTTCGAGGCCTGGGACACATGGCGGCAGGCCAGGATGGAGTTCCATCTGCCAGGGGGCTCCCCGCCCCCGACATGGAGCCTTCTCTGTAGGAGGGACCCCATGCACGTGACTGAGATGAGATGAGTCTTGCTCATGGAGTCAGACATGAGACTGAAACCTGGGCAGTCTCCACGGCCTGTGAGTTAAGGGGAGTCCAAGAGGGCGAGGCCGCTGTCCAATACGGCAGCCACCTGCCGAGTATTTGCGTTTAATTAAAACCAAATAAATTAAAAGCTCCTGTCTGCAGTCGCACCAGCCACGTTTCAGGTGTTCAGGGGCCACTCCTGGGCAGTGGCTGTTCTACATCACAGCCCAGCACAGAGCCATTCACAGAAGGTGACACGGCTCCAAGTGGCTCTGTCTCCTGGGACGCTCGTCCATGGGGCCCCTGCGCTGTGCTGGGAGAACAGACCCCCGGGGAGCAGCCCCGGTGGAGGAGAACCCCGGCCTTCATGCTCAGCTCCGCGGAGCGCTCAGGTGTTAGCAGCACCAGCCCGCCAGCTGGAGTGCACCATCAAAGGAGGACCCTCCAGCCCTCAGGGAAACCCAGCCCGGGGACGCCGCCTGGACCGGGACGTCCCCACGGAGCCCCACCCACAGTGCGGCTTCAGAACCCGCATCTGTCCGTCTCCAGGTCCTCTGCCTTAGCCCAGCTCTCTGTGCACGCTCACTCAGTTGTGTCTGACCCCTTTGTGACCCCGTGGACTGTAGCCCACCAGGCTCCTCTGTCCGTGGGATTTGCCCAGGCCAGAATACTGGAGTGGGTCGCCATCTCCTCCTCCAGGGGATCTTCCCGACCCAGTGACTGAACCTGCTTCTCCAGCGTCTCCTGCATTGCAGACGGATTCTTTACCACCTCGGGAAGCCCTGAGCCCCGCTAAGGTGCCCCATAACCTTCTCCCTCTCTTGTCACCAAGGCAGGTGGCTCTGTTGCCTCCTTGGGTGCCCCGGACCGTTGACACTTTCACCATAAAGATGTGTTTGTGCGTCTGCTTTCTGCGGCCTCCCCTCCCAGCCCCTCGTTGGCTCTTTGAAGGACCGGGTTGGTCTTACAATCTCCACGCCCTCACTCCCGGCGGGCACTCCTCTGGACCCTCGGTCTGGGGCTGTTTCACCGTCTTGTGAGGTTGGCAGGCATCCTCTGGGAGGAAAGGCCAGGAGCTGTGCTGGCTGGGGTGGGCGCTCTGTACCACCGGGCGGCTGGGTCTCAGCCAGGAGCTGAGAGCTGGG